TTTTAAGAAGTTAAAGCTGATCACATAATCAATCTATTTTTTGGGTCACTTAAGGATATACCCTGCAAAAATAGCACTTTCCTTTTATTTTACAACTTGAAATTCACATTCTATTAGACACCAGGGGCATATGGGGTACTCATTTTCCAGAATCTTAATTATGGGTAGGATGAAATCTCAGTGTTCCCCGTGAAGGGCCCCCTTGACCCAGGGCCTTCCTTAGGGATTCTTCAGGGGGGTGTAAGGTCATTTCAAACGATTGAAGAACAGGGCCGCCGAGAGGTTGACGGGAGCTCAGATGAAATAATATTAATTAATTATTATTAATTTATTTATAATAATTATTATTAATTTAATTAATTAATTAATTATTAATTTAATTTATTAATTAAATTAATTATTTAAATTAAATTTTCCAAACACTGCATAAAGGTTAGCCCAGGGACCTTCCTTGACAAGGCACACCCCCTGGGCCCCTGGCTCTTGCTAGGCACAGCCCTTAGGAGTTATGCCACTGCGGAGTGAACATCAGACCATTATTCCAGCCGGCTTGCTGTACAACTTTCTATTTACTTGAGCATAAAATATCATAGTAGAAGAGCTAATTCAATCATAAAATGTTGAGTTCATAAACCATGGTATGCAGGGCAAAGGTACTGAAACGTCTAGTGGCAAGGGTTGACCAGAGGGTGGGTACAATTGCATCTGACTGATTTCGCAATGAGTATGGAATACTCAGGATTACCAAGTTAATTGGTCTTGTGGAATTTTATGTGTATTATGTCTATAATACCAATGGAGAAAGTGCATTACCACTTGCAATCTACAGCATTGATTTATTTTTCACAATTCTGCAAACTATTAATGGCAGCTGGCAATGTCACATGTAACACAAGGCTGTCAGAAGCGGGTGCTTGAGCCCCCTAAAATTTCCATTTGTATAAGCAAAACACACAAAATAACTAGAAAAGTGCAAAAGCAATTAAAATTTATTCAGATATATTCTTGAGTCCCCCCAATATTGATTTACTTCCGATGGCCTTGTAACATCCTGCCCAGATTTTTTTAATTCTATATAAACGCCCTGTATACAAGGTTAGTACCCTATTGAATAACTTGCACACCTGACACCAATATAAAGAAAAATGGGCCGGCCATTGCTAATGTGCCAGTTGAAAGGTAAGCATGAGCTACTAAGTGTGTTAGCTTATTTAGGTTATGGAACAAGATAATTACAAAAGTAGTAAAAGAGGACACATTAGTTGTGAATATGTTTTTTTTTGCTATCCTCACGATAATGTTCACCCAGCATGAAATGAAAAGGTAGTGCACAACCTGTGCAGAGTCCATTTTGCATGTTGGCACACAATTTGGCATTAAAATTGTATATTGTTGATTGCTAGGGGAACAGGTGAGGACTCTGAACCCGGCATTGCTTGACGAGTAAGATACTTAGCGTACTAACCCCAATTACACATACCACATGAAATATCTAAGGTTACAAGGTGGCAATATATTTGTAATACTAATTATATACAATATCTCAAATGCTCAGATGTATGGTAAATTAAATTTGAAGTGCACCCCCCCCTTTAGATTTTTACACTCCCCTGTTGGCCAAGGGTGTGTACCTCTGTCAACCCCCCTCCCCTCCCCCTATAAACCCAACTGTATGTTGGGATGGATTTACTGGGGGGGGGTGCACCTCCCTAGCCCTGGCCAGGGGGGGGGCCAGATTGGAAAGTTTGTAAAATGCGCGGGGGAGATCGAATTTTTGCCGAAATTGTGCGGGGGCAAACTTCGGTAAATTGCGCGGGCAGCTTCGTTTTTCAGGCTACAATTTTGTACAAAAGGCCGAGCAAAGACCGCGGACCCTCAACTACTGACTACATGCTGACGATGCAATTGTATTATTTATGTGTAGATATCAATTAAAGACAGTTAAAATAAATAATAACAATACTTAGCTGTACATTTAAGATAAGATAGCAAGCTTCACAAACACAGGATTAGGGTAGTATACAGTCCATATAGATGGCGATGCACCAGGATCATCATCAGAGTCCAGCCATACACTGAATCAGTTCACAATCACAATTAGTAGAATGAGCAGCTTGACTGTTCAAGTTTGCGTCCCTTTATAACAGCGCAGTTGGTTCCACAAAAGTGCCCAATCAGTTTAAATTAAAAGGAGAAAAATGTTCCAAAATGTACAAATTAAAGACGCAGCACAATATGGCAGAAACACAACAGCATCAGTAAAACAATATGCTGGTTACTGACTGAACCATTCAAACACATCAACAAGATTTAAGCTCACCATCTTTCTCTAAACAACGTCACTGAGACAGTTCTTTTTATATTTTTCAGTTAGATCCTTCAGCCAAACTCATGATTATTCTTATCTACAAAATTCTCAAAAAATTGTCTATAGTTTCACGTCTTTGAATTTACTGAAAAAACGTCCTTGAATATCCTGGAAAAGTACTTCAGTTTTATCATTACTAAAGGGTGGAAACCCTGGCAGCAGAAGAGTAGTAACTCCGGACGAAGGGCCTTCGCTCGAAACGTCGAAATTCTCCTTATATTTTTCAGGTTATTGCATCCCTACCAACGAAAGCTTGTTAATTAACTTTAAGAAAGTTACTCAACGGTTCAATTATAAATGGGAAGTTATAGCAGGAAAGGAAATTTGGCAGGCGTCTTTTTATTTCGATCGACAACTTTGGAACAATCAGTGAAACGATTTTTGATAGACCTTTTGTCCCTGTAGACTGGCACATAATGCTTTTTCAGACCGTGTTTCTTGTCACCTTCGATGTACATATGTGCCATTTCCGTGAGAGCCGAATCGCATTGCAAAACAGGAGGTAGACACCAGTCAATCTTTGATCGTAATGCCAGAACATCGAGGCTTTGCTTGCCCTCCATTTCCTGCTTTTCGACAACGCGATAAAAAGATTCAGCCACAGCTTCATGCAGTCCCTGTCTTGGCATACATAATATCGAACAGCAGGCAGAATTCCTGACCAACCAGTGTATAAAAGGATGAATCTGTATAGAGTGCGTGAATTATGGCATCTTCTTCGAGTACCACTTCTAGGGTTGTTCCACAACCTAACTGCACCCGAAATACCTCCGCCAACGAGAACACGGTGGGATCAGATTTGCTAAATTCAACTACGTGCGTTGTAGATACACCAACCGGAATTGCAATATCACCCATAACAACGTGTCGTCTCATTGCTGCTCCTGGCTTTTCCACCACCTCCACTATTTGTCGGAAAAATTTGGGAAAATGCGAAGAGAACAGCGTACCCCAAACAACATCCATCAATGTAGATTTCAGGCGCCAAAACACTGTTGATGAAAGCTCGGAGGAGAATTCCATGTTCTTCTCTTGGACATGTGGCAATTGGGAGACAAACTCGACACACTTTCTAAATTCAGTTGCAACCCAAGGCAGCGTATACTCCTTTATTTATTATTTATTTATTTATTAACTTTACAATCATACAAAAAATATAACAATGATTGAAGGTATGGTCAACAGGACATGAGTCCCATGTAAAGACCAACCTGATACAATACAATAAGTAGACATACATTAAAGACAAGGACTAGAACACTATTTACATAGCTATATAAAAATTAATAGTTTAGATTATAAGCAACAGCTTAAGTTGAAAGAACGGCATTTAGAGCAGTAGGTTTTCCAAGTGCGCATTCTGTTAACATCGAAAGAAGAGTCTAATTGAGAAGAGTAGTGAGAATGGAGCTGGAACTTAAAGGATGAAACAGACGAACTGTTACGAATGATTGGAGAGAGATTGTTCCATAGAAAGACAATTTGTTCACCAGGTGAGTACCATCTTTGCGTACTCCACACAATCCTGCAAAAAGTACGCCAAAGTCCAAGCATTTGTGCAGCATGGAATTCAACTTCGGAAAGCTTGAGGCAAATCTGCTGTCTAATTGTACTTTCATGTTTATTGCGAGTTCTTTCAAATCTTTCATGCAGTCGGTAGGTTCTCTTGCTACCCATTTGAAACTCTCGTTTTCTTCTTCGACTAAAATCCACCCATCATTATAATATCAAACCCTGCACGTTGTTATCATTAATTTCCTCACAATTCAATAATTGCCTCACGCCCCTATCCCTGTCCATCAAGCCACTGGCACCATATTTGGATGCAATCACCTACAGTCACATGATCACGCTACTGAATAAATCCTACTCCACCCCTTCCATCATAAGCATTCAAACTCACTATACCGTTGAGTCAGTTTTACCGTAAAGGACTAGCAAATTACTTCGCTCGAAAAAAATATAGTTAAAGATGAACAATAAAGTACGGTATGTTGGAATGTCCCGCAACAACAAGACCTTTGGTAGGATAATTTTACTAATAACATATTCAGTAATTTCATCCTTTTCACTTTCTTTCAACCTTCATTTTTGTATTGTATAATTCATTATAACTTCGTAATAATTTGTTTTCTCTGGTTTCACATATGTTCAGTGCTCCTAAACTCTCCTGCATTCTAGTTTCACTCTGCAAACTCTATCTACACCCCCCTTAAAAAAACCCTGCTGAAGAAGACTGTTAGCTCGAAACGCGTACAGGGTTGCCTTTCCTATTCCAATTCAATCTCTCGCTCTTATATATCCTCGCCCTCATCGTGTCACATAAAATTCACATATTCAGTTACTATCTAATCGTAGTTTCCCTTGTTTTTTGCGTACATGTTCGCCATCACAGGAGTCGGAGTAAATAAATAAAGGATAACCAATTGAACTACTGGTCCTCATTATTTAGGCTACACAATGTCTTACACCAGTACTTGTCCAATTACCTATTTCATACCAATGAATGAATGCCGATGATACAACTGCCATTTCGTCGACGTCGTCTGCCAGAGTTGCCACTAGTTATTTCAAAGTATAAGACGCCAAAAAACAAGCAGGCTTTTATTTACTTATTACTAGTAATCACTGCTTTAGTCGATTCGTCAATAGTATTTGTATATTATACAACTATACCCGCTGTCTCCTAGACTATCATTGTTATTACAATGAACTTGAAGGAAATACTGTCTAAATTATCTATTTTATCTGGTTTGTAAAGGTCACTTATCCTTTATCTTGAAACTTTTCCAAAGATAGTATTATGTAAATCTTGTCGTGATGACGGATTTTTTATGAAGCTATCTTTGGAATGTAAAATAGTTCAGATTGATTGGCTCAGGGAGTAGACTATGCAACAAAACAGGAGATGAATTTGTCTTATCGGATTGCTTAATGTCCGTCTTTTCCAACTCGTTGATATCATATCATAAGCGGTAAAGCGCGAATGAAAATTTGTTGCGCAGCTATAAAAGTGGCTCTGCTAATTTTGCGCGGTCGGCGGTCCTCTTCAAAAGTGTGCGCGGCCAAGCAATCGCAACCTGAAAGTGCGCGGGCGCGGCTGCGGCTGACCGAAAAGTGCGCGGGGGATTTCTCGCCCGCGCGCGACAAACTTTCCAATCTGGGGGGGGGGTGCTATTTTTCATGATAAAACAAAAAAATATTATAGAGACAAAATGAGATACAGTAATTTGAGTGATATCGATAACATGATAAGAAGCAAACTGTGAACAACAATTACAATTCAAATACAGTAGTCAAGCAAGACTTGACCTGTAAGTTGATGGGCGGGTGGCATGCATGACCAACATAACTTGGCATTAGAGCTGGCAGATCAAACCCCCCCCCCCCCTTCTACCAGATCATGCTGGATCCATCCCTGCCACCATGACTGTTAGTGTTGGTGCTAATTAAACAGTGCAATCTGCAATCTTGAACGGTCTATGCCAGGCTAGATAGAGACGATAGCAAGATAACTATATATAACTTAGTACCTGAAAAATTCAAACAGAACTTCACTCGAAAAGTCAATAATTTGTACATTCCGCATGGATTTTCAAGCTCTGTGGATTATGGAATATAAACTAGGCTGTTATTACAATTTTCAAAATTGAAGTTGAAAGTGTCAAAAATTTCTTATCTTGGCCAATCTATTTTTTACTTTTAAAGCATAATTCACTGAAACATATAGATATTAATTTAAACTATGTTTGAGAAAAATTCTGTTATAAAATCTTTTTTCAGATTAATCAGGTAAAGAGTAAGATACCTGGCATATCAGAATATAAGTTCTACCAACCAAAAAGAATAAAAAGATCAAAAAACAACAATAGAAATTATAGAATATAAACTCCATTTAAACTCCACTCCTTAGCTTGGCGCCATATTGAATTTCGCGGTCGCGCTGGTAAAGGCCTGGGGACTAGGTGCGCTCTACCGTATCTGAAATAGCCTTCACCGTAGCTCAGTTGGAAGAGCATTGGGCTAGTATTCCAAAGGTCGTAGGTTCGAATCCCACCGTGGCCGGGCATATTTTTGAAGCTCGCCCGGTGTGGATATGCACTCAGAGTAACATCACAAACATATTATTCACCTGAGTACACAACACCAGCACAAAAAAAATTCATATTACAAGAACACATTAGTATTGAAGGAACTAGATACTGTTCCGAAATATCACTTACTCGAACCGTCCTGACCGCGTAGCTCAGTTGGAAGAGCATTGGGCTAGTATTCCAAAGGTCGTAGGTTCGAATCCCACCGTGGCCGGGCATATTTTTCAAGCTCGCCCGGTGTGGATATGCACTCAGAGTAACATCACAAACATATTATTCACCTGAGTACACAACACCAGCACAGAAAAAATTCATATTACAAGAACACATTGGTATTGAAGGAACTAGATACTGTTCCGAAATATCACTTACTCGAACCGTCCTGACCGCGTAGCTCAGTTGGAAGAGCATTGGGCTAGTATTCCAAAGGTCGTAGGTTCGAATCCCACCGTGGCCGGACATATTTTTCAAGCTCGCCCGGTGTGGATATGCACTCAGAGTAACATCGCAAACATATTATTCACCTGAGTACACAACACCAGCACAGAAAAATTCATATTACTAGAACACATTGGTATTGAAGGAACTAGATACTGTTCCGAAATATCACTTACTCGAACCGTCCTGACCGCGTAGCTCAGTTGGAAGAGCATTGGGCTAGTATTCCAAAGGTCGTAGGTTCGAATCCCACCGTGGCCGGGCATATTTTTCAAGCTCGCCCGGTGTGGATATGCACTCAGAGTAACATCACAAACAAATTATCCATTGTATTTATATAGCTCAGTGCTTGGTAACCAAGCCTTAAAGTGATCCCAAAAATTTTTTCTGCTGGCGGACTGACCGGAAGTTGACAGAAATCACAAAGCATTTTGGATGCAAAAAATAGATATAAATTTTAAAACAAGAAACGTCTTTGTAATGCTGTAAAGTCTGTTTTGAATGAAGTACAGGGAAATCGAAGCAAGAGTGAACGACAAATCTCAAAATGCATATAGAACAACCGAGGGAACGAACAATCTGCTTGCAGTTTATTCAAATACGTTATCTGATGAATTAAGGTTCTTTTCAACATTTCAATGTGAGTTTAATAGTATTAATATTAAATATTCGACTGATCACCATGATTTTGACTCGATGTATATCTGGTATTTTCACAACAATCGAGAGTTTTGTGTGGATTTTTTCGCTTGCTGAAATTGACAATTTTGTTGTTTTGATATTGATTTGACAGTTGTTCAAAATAGCTTGCGGTGGTATCTTTGAACTTTCATCCTGGCAACTGCCAGATGATCTTGATACGCGGAAAAGTACTGGCACTAGTTGTCAAATAGAAATCCATTTTGTGATTAAAACAACTGAATATCTCCCGTAATATACTTTATTTCAATTCCATATTTTTGTCAGAGCTCTAGTTCTCATAACCAAACATAATTACAAAATTTCAACTAGTTTCATAAAGAATAACGAAAGATATAATTGACTGAATACATCAAAATGGATTTCTATTCGGACAACCCTTTCTGAGCGCTGATTGGCTAAAATACGAACACGAGATCACCTGGTGGGCTAACCCGCTTGTGAGTGTGTATATAAACAGGCCCTAATGTCTCAATCAATGCCATGGGTGCCCATCCCCCCTGGGCGTTTGTCGAGCATTTGTCATTTTGGCGAAAAAATGTTGCAAATGCTGTACCATGGGGTCCAAATAATGCAACAAAATCCCCACCCTTGGGGACTTATATTGGGGACTTATATACAAATGCCTTGGGGACAAAACAAGTTTTTTGAGGATTTTTGAACCAAAAAATCGAATGCAGGCTGTATCTCTTATCAATATCTGGATTTAAAATCGATTCTGTAGCCATTTCGGTTCAAAACATTTTTAATTAAAATATTGAAATCTCAAAACTTGATATAACAATGTCAAAC